AATAATATGTGATCAAATGCATTACTATAAATATAGCATAATTGCATAAGTGAATAGGTATGCCAGTGAGCCTCATGTACACTGTTTAGCAGTCACATATAAATTTCTCATCCTCCGTCTCGCTAAATATTACGAGAATGGACGAAGATTGTAAATTTATCATTAAAATCGATGCTTTTTGTGAAACCCTTTTCGAAAATTAGCAGAATCCCGGAATTTTTCAAGACTGAGTAGCTAGACCCGCGAGCCTATTCCTCACAAAATTCAAGGTTGGTAACAGAAATGCGTAATCACAAAGCTTCCTTCTAGCCTATTTAACTAGATACAGGGCTTCCTGAAAAGACGATAATACAAGATTTCCTGGACACTGATTACTTTTCCTGAAATCCAGAAAATTCACTACGTCGTTGCTTCTCCAGTTCAATTTCTTTTTCAATACGTCGTATTGCAGCGCTTTTTTTGCTTTTCCATCGCCGCACGGAGCCCAGCCGGACTGAACTGGTCACCCAGTCCGGTTGTTGTTCTTGGTCGACGAATGGATCGAAAGCATAATCATCAATATTTTCGTTGTCCATTTCGTCATGCCAAAGCGCGGTCCGGATCGTTGCTTGCTTCGCATCGGGCACAACGGTTGCTTCAAGTAAAATTAGCAAGTAACTCGAATTCTGGCAAAAATTAATACATCGTGCTAAACTGGCTGTCCTTGCACAGCCCATGTTAAAGCTCGTTAATTTCCGAGCTTGTGCTCAATTCCACATAAACGCGTCGAGTCTGCGGCTGGCCTTGATCCGGGTTTCGCAAACTTGTTGCTTAAATAATGAATATAAGCACATTTCTGCAAAAACTGAGCAATTTTTTCGAAACATCAATAATCTTAAAAAACTCATTTCGCGGGAGAAACACTGCCGCAATTTTCAGGATTAACTGAGGATCCATTACTGATTGTGAAATTAAACTACGTGGTAAAATAGGCGTAATCAGCCATAATACGTTTTGCTGCATGATTTATCCGTAAAAACATGTAACATTAATGAAAATAGCACACTGTATTTTACTCTTCAGTATTTTAGTGATTTTTCATTTTGAAGAAAGCAATGATACACTGTTGTGAAGCGTGGTTCTTTACGTGATTTTAAATACTTTAAATATTAACGTCAAGTATCGCAAAGTCTAAAACAGAGAAGAATGGAGAAGTTGTCAGACCGCATCAATGGCAAGAAGAAACATGATGACGGGAGCAATGGTCGCACCGAATGTGTTCAAAACAATAAAAACCTAGTTTCGTTGCATTATGATACGATACATTTGCAGCCAAAAATCTAACATTTCGAGCAGTTCCATCAGAAATGAACACAATCACAAACAGTTTTGAGGGGAAAAAAA